GTTGTCCCTGGCACTCATTTAAAACACTGCACTGAGCGGTTCGGCTCCCCAAGCTGGCACAAACCACGGAGGTTTTTCTTGGGTTTCCTTTCTGCTATGTGGCTGCAGTGGCTCAGTGCAGGTTCAGACAAGGACCAGAGCTACTGGAATGGCACACATGGAAAAGAAGGTGGAGGATGGGACTATGCAGCTAGACATCAACATTTCTTGGACTACAGGTACTTTTAGCCTGTCAGGAGAGCAGAAGAATGCAGAGGCCAGGGATGCATCCTGTCTCGTGTCTGTCAAGGAGGAGGAGTTGATGGAGAGGAGCAAGACACATCCGAGAGCTATAAAAGACAGGACAGACATCAGGGTAGGACAGATATTAAATCATTCACCTCTGTATCTCTATAGCTAAGCTTGCCTCAAACATACCCTCCTCCAGTCAACCACGTAAGTTACCCATAACTGTTTAGGGTTGATTTGGATCTTTTTATAATCCGTAAGTGGTAAAGACCCTATCAGACACAGGACAACTTTCTAAAGCAGGCAGGATTCTAGTCCAGCGCTGCAGTTCAGCTCTCCCCTTTGTTCAGGTTCACGTAAGGAAATACATAGAAAACAGGAGCCCAGGTCACTGCTTTGCACTACAAGCCAAAGAAAGAGCTTTAGGTTATGGTAGGCACTTCAGTGCAATAACGTATATGCTGTTTGAGCAGTTCTCATCCAAACAACAATAGAAAATTATTCTAAACGAGCCTCTTGATAATTATGCAAGAACATATCAAGAATAGAACAAGTGATATTTATCGTAGCCTCTTTACCACTTTTGCATTATAAAAAAAGACTCAAATCAACTAAGTATTTTCTTCTTTGATGAAGCATCTATACTGTCCAATGTACTTATAAATGGAACACTTTCAAAGAACTGTAACCTCTACTAAGATATATCAGAAGTATATAATTATAACTGTGAAAGGAAATACAGAGAAAAATATCCAGTCTTTCTTTGACGGATCAATTTATCTGAAAGGGAATTAGCACCTTAGGACCAAGTACCTGGAAGCACTGTAATGATCCTGCTCGGAATGTGCAGGTTTTGTCAAAAGTGCAACTCACGACGGTAGAGTTGGCTATCTACAACATCTTTTAAAGAGATCTCTGTTTAAAATCTCTGAATTCTTTGCCATATCTATTGTTCTCTGCAAAACAACCTTGTTACAGGAAATTCAGTAGTAGGATACATCTGAAGATGTAATTATTAGTATATATTTGCTTCTCTAATATATCTCACCGTGTCCAAAAAGTAGGTTGCCTTACAGCCCATTAAAAGTATGTTATTCAAGTGACAAAAGCTAATGAATTGTAATGGATAGGCAAAGATGAAAGCTGCAGAAATGGAAATATTATTTAGAAAGGAGTAAACACTTCAAATGCTCTAGTCTAGCTTATAATAGAATTTAATGGAAGGGCACGCAAGAGAACTTTTAACAATAGCCTAACTTGAGGCCTAAGTCACCTTATTTGCACTTCATTTTAACTCCAACATGTGGTCCTCTGCAAACAGCAAATAATTTTGTCTTAAAAAAAAAAAGGAAAAAAAAAAGAAAAAGAGAGAAAGAAACAAGGAGTTTTTACTTCAAGCATTTTTGAACTAGATTAAATTTAATTTAGATTGTTCTTCCAGAACTACTTTCTCTTCAGTGAGACACTCTTAAAGACTGAAGGAAAACATCCAAGTTCAAAGGACAAATTAAGGTTCAAGTTTTCAATGTATTTGAGTCAACAGATAAAAGAGGAGACCTAAAAATGGCAAACATACCAGTGAGAAGTAGGCCAATGTTGTGAAAAAGCTAATATGAAGGCTCAAGCCAATCGTTGATTAGGTTTGTCCTTGAGCATAAGTAGCAAAAACTGTGACACATTCAATATGAATAGGGACAACAAGGATGAAAATGTAGAATCAAACTAGCTTCAAGAAAAACATTTAAAATCATATTCATTGCAATAGAATTTTTTATTCTATAATAGGAAAACAAAACCTCTTATCACTGTCAAAGTATACCATATTTTTCCACAATATTTCCACCATTATGATACGCCATACACTAAAGTTATTTTTCAGACTGTGCAGATCTGAACCGCAGCATTCCGCGAGATGCACACCGTTAGCAATGGCATTTTGGGACCATTTCATGCGAAGCACTCCAAGCCGACAACCCTTGCGCAAATACATAAGAACCATGTCACACGCACTATAAATAGCTTTAACAGTAAAGAATCAATACCATTCAAACCTTTAGGTAACATCTTGCTAATCTGCCCTTGGCACGCCTGCACACACTGCTGCAAAAGCTCTCAAAACGCAACAGCCAAAGGTGAAGGACACAATTCGTTCAACTGGTTAACGTAAATGCTATTTAACCAGCTCAGCCACTAAAAAGCTACCTAACCAAACAGTCTGCACCACGATAAGCAGCAGAGACAAGCGCGATTAATATTAAGTGTTATTTTATATATATAAATATATACATATGTATATATGAGAAGGAAAGACGGCTCTCCAGGCCTGCTGCCATTTCTGCTGGGATATTTAAAGCTCTACATTTGACAACAACCATTTCCATCCTTGTTTTCCCCCCTCTCGCACCGCACCCAGCACAATGGTACGAGGGCACACGACCGGTCGAGCTCCTCTATGTTTATTTTTGCCATCGCGGTGACACCGCTGGATACCCCGCGGATGAGGCCCTCGGAACAGGCCAAGCACCGAAACCCACCCGCGACCGCATCCACCTGCCGAAAAAAAAGGGGCGGGAGCGGGGGGGGGAAACGCCACCTGGATAACGGGAGCAGAACGGAATACGGGGAATAAAAAACAAGGGGGAGGGGGTTTAAAATAGGTCACTTTCCTCCCAACCTCCCCACCGAAAAAAAAAAATAAAAAGCGGCGCTTGCAGAGGAAGAACTCGGCGCTCGGGGAGGAGCGATGGGGGAAGGCGAGAAGGGCGGCGGATATAAATAAATAAATAATAGCGATAAAAATAATAGCAGCACTGCT